TGCAAAAAAAAAAAAAAAAAAAAAAACATAACAGATCAAACACTCAACAGAACATTATGAGGATCTTAACATGCACCGCGTTGGCAACCTTCATCATCCCAGCTGCTAAGTCAGAACACGTCAAGACGAACTTTTTAAACCTCGGAAACGGAATCTCGTCGCAGTGCATGACGACAAGCTTAATCACTTCATGCCGGATTTCAACCCGGAACAAACCGTTAGTTTTTTCAATAATGACCAGTGCGCTCAATGACCGTATGGAGGTTATAACGTGGCTTCTGCAAAAACTTAGCAGATCAAGCACGTCATATTTACCCGCCGCCCTCAAGAGCGAGCAAAAGCGATCTGCCAGCCTCTCCAAAGGCAAAGTGCCTGTGTACAGTGGCGGATCTAGGAAATTATTTAAGAGGGGGCAAAAATAATTTTTCTATTATAATATGGGGGCATTTTCAATTTTATTTGCAAAATTATGAAAATTTACAAAGAAAATTACATTTTTTAATTAAACTAATGGGGGCAAAGGTCCCATTGCCATCAACGTACGTCCGCCATTGCCTGTGTACATGAACTCAAGAAGTGACTCCAACTGGTCGCGGTTCGGTTCAGCTCAGGAATAGCGATAGTCTCTTGTTATCCGACGTCTTGTAACTACACTTGATCCAAACATGGTCTTAAACACCTCCGACGATCCCCCAGAAAGTGACGTGCTCTATTTTTTTTTTTTTTTTAAGAACGTAAATGTTATATATCTATAATGTTCATACAAGGTAGGAGGGGAATAACAACCTGTCCCCAACAGCTGATTTTACAGCCTAATACACAAGCAACCCAAACCCCCGAGAGCAAATACAACAAGAATCAAATTTGTTAAAAAAGATGAAACCACAAAGAAAGTAGTGTGTCGTTCGGGTGAATACACTTCCAATTCATTCTGATTGAAGTTAGCCTTCGTCGAGTGTGAGTAAGAATCTCCTTAACCAACAGATCTCTAGGCTTTGAGCTTGAGTCATGTAACCTTGAGTTCCTTTCCCGCCAAATGTGGTAAATTACGCCTTGAGTAACTAAAGTGAGCATTAGTTTGAGGCACTTCTCAATACAGCAATTACTAATCCAGTCGATCAATTCAAGAAAGGATGAGTGTTGCTGTATCTGAAGTTGAGAGTGAATTAGCAGCCTTGACCAAATGGCCGCAGAGTATTGGCATCTGAAAAAAAGATGATCAACAGATTCCTCACCATCATCGCAAAGCAAGCACGTCGACTGCACCGTGATTCCCCACCCCAATAATCGATCTCGTGTAGGTAATCTATTCTGTGCCGCCAACCACGTAATAAAATTTAGGGACTGATTTTTTATACCATACCATCTTACTCCAGCACACAATCTGACCCGGGTCAGCAAATAATAGCCAAGCCTCCCAAGTTGTGAATCTTTTTTGTCCCTGAGATTGGTATTTGTCTGACCAATACCAAGTATCTGGCTCCGCTGACATGGCTGGCTCCACTGTCTTACAAATGTTTTTCTAGGTCGACAAATTAGAAATGGAAATAACACTTTAATGGAGATTTATAGCATCGAGGCAGAGGAGCAACGAAGACTTATAAAGAGGTTTTGCCATATTTTTTCATTTCACAAGACAAGCTATTTGCAAGACGGCGTCAAAGCAGTGGAAGAAAAGTTTAGTTTGTTTGACAGCTTCTCCATAGCTAGTTCCAACAACGGGATACAAACGGGACCTAGAAGACACCATTACCAAAGAAGTAGGCCGAAGGGCAATCCAATCTAACAAATCCACAACAGCTGAACCAATACAAAACATGCTATAACATGTAGAGGGAAATATAGATTCCATTGCGATGGATGAACCCCCAGGGAGGGACCTAAGTCTACAAGCGAACTCCCTAAGAGTGATATCGAGCGTTAAATTCAGCGAGAGAGAGCCTTTGAATTACAGCAAGTGCAACTAGACCCCTTCAAAGCTTTCAACACTATGTCCAAGGCAAGGCTCGGGTTTTTCTCGGCGAATGACTTGAACTCAGCTGTATGCACAATCCCCTGTGAATTAAAAACGATGATATCGATAGCCTCTTCCTCTAGGTTATCATCGGATACATCACAAGCGACCTCAAGAACGTTGACAGCATTTGACACCGATAGGATGGATGACAGGTGTTGTGTGCACACATATTCAAGAGACCAAATATCGTACTTAAACGCGGCACGACAGAGCGAGAAAACGTGTTCCTCCAGCTTCTCACAAGGCAAAGAGCCACTGTAAATGAACTCAAGAAATGCTTCCAACCCTTCGTAATTCAACTGGGAGAGAGTGACCACCTTACTTTCCGAGCAATCAAACATCTCCTTGAACACCTCTGAACATGCCGACTAACGAACACAAACTCATCAAGAAAAGCACAAAACCAAGCCACAAGCACAAGGCAGAGCATTTTCGGATTAAAACTCCACGTGGAATTTAGTATAACAAGATTCAAAGAGAGAAACCGGAGAATACCAAGATCAATTTGTGGGCAGGGAGGACGAATTTGCTGTCACCTGGCTTAAGTTTGATATCAGTAGGCATTCTGCTTCGAAGGCCTTGAAGGACCCCACTAAGATGATCCACTTGATCTTTTAGGCTGACAGCTGACATAAATCCTGCAAAAATGAAAAAAAGACGAGTGACAACTACATAGCATATGGTGAAACACGT